AGCGGACCCAGTGAGCCGTAGCCTCCGGCAACCCCTCCAGGAACTGCTTGAGGACAACCAGATTGAGCAGCTGAGCTTCCTCTGGTGAAGTCCCGGCCGCACCCACCTAGCTGCTGCATCCTCCAGCTGACGAGCCTAAGCAAATGGCCGCTCCCCTCCTGTCATCCTGCTGGCTCGGAACCACCGCCGAGAGGCCCAAACAGTCCAGGCCCATTCATCCTCCGGCCATTGGCAGGCCAACGCCGTGGCCTGGAAAGCTTAGACCAGCAGGTCTTCCCCCTCCACCATCCGGTTTAACGGCCACAGTCCCCAAGAGCTGCCCCGGGGCCGCGGTCTGCTGCTCCGATTGTTGGCATAGCATCGCCAACTGCTGACCCTGAGTCGCAGCCTGACGAGCCACCATCGCCGCCATGTCCTGCATGATCTGGCCCAGCATCTGTAGCGGTTGGGCAGGCGGCTGGGGCGCCGGAGGAGCAGGCGGGTTGGGCTGGAGATGCGACATTGCGGCCTGAGTTTCGGCACCACTGTGATGTCAGACCCCAACACATGCAAACAGACCGTGGGTATGGTGACAGCACACTTATTTTATTATCACTGTTGTTCACTGTGGTTTCAACTTACTACACGGGACACAGACACTCCCGCTCAGCGGTCACTCCGCTCTCCCTCCTCGACTGTCACTGAAACATAAAAAGAGTCACAATCAGTCACTTGTCCCCAACACCTGTTCAGCCCCGCCTCCATGCCGCCCCGGGAGCTCACCGTGCCACCCCTCCTCTGCAGCCAGCCAGAGACCACACCCATGCCACAAAGTTAAAGCTTGATCAGCTGTTTTTTGAATTTATTTAATATTACTTTCTAATATCAACTGATGTTTGCTGGAGCCACAGCTGTAAAAGCTGCTGGTCATGATATCGGTTTGGATATGTGGTGAGAGGGAAACATGAAGATGAAACCAGGAGATGTCCTTACTGAATCATCAGAGCTGAACAGGTGATGGAGAAACACGTTTACCTTTTAGGTGACATGAATGGGTTGAAGGGAAGCTATGAACTGTTTCTGAGAGACAAATAACACCAGCTGACAGGTGGTAACTGTGCAGGGGCGGGTCTAGCAAAGTTTTGTCAGGGGGCCAGGTAGACAGGGAAAGGGGGGCACAAAGAAATACTTTTCTTTCTTATTCTCATTTAAAATGTCTAGCTTTTACCAAAGTGGTCATCTGATGTAAAATGTATAGAAATCATATATATATATATCCCAACAAGACAGTGTACATCACTGTCACAACAGCGTTTGTTTTCATTTAAAGGCTTTATGGCTTTTCCTATAATACCTGGTGGGCCGGTCTCTAGGCATGCCAGGCGGATTTTTTGCCCTAGTCCAGCCCTGGTATTTCCACACACATTTCTACCCTGTGCTAAATTATTTTTTATAAAAATATGAACATTTACCTTCTTCTGATTTATTTATGTATTTTTAGTGCATATTTATGTCAAAAGTCACGTGAAAAAAAATATTATCACAAGCAAATATTTTTTTATGTCACCGGTACAGATATTCATTGTTACTCATGTAAATAAATTCTTTGTGCCTATTCTGGTTGTGTAAAGTTTAATGAGTCAACATTTTCATGGAGTTTGAAGTAAATTTTAATGCAAACCAATTAATAACTCAATAAAAACATGAGGCTGAAATTAAAATAAAAATGGTTTTAAAGCCTAATTTCACTGAAAAAATAATCATAAACTGTGTGAAACTGAGTATTTAGAGCTGTCTGAAGTCTGAACTTAGAGCGCACAAGGATCAGTTTCAAAAACACTCACCTCATTATTTGAAACTTTGGTCATGTTTAACATGAACATTCAAAATTGGAATTGTTAATAAAATCATTTTCTTTTCTTTCTCACTCAGAGTGCAGACATGTCTGCTGCCAGCTGTCTTCTACCTGAATTTTAAGGCTGTGGCAGTGTAGACTTCGTGGCCCAACATATCCCAGAATGCATAGCGCGGCGATGGGTGTGGATAAATTTGCAGAAAAAAACGGCGGATGAGGGGCGGCCGAAGAGTACACTTTAAGTACTGAATATTATGTCACTTATTTATGTGCAAATGTTTAAT